CTTAAGAAAGGACTGAATTCCGATATGACGGCTGATAGAGATGTATGGAAGAGCAGCACATACTGTGCCAAACTTCCGTAAGAGATAAGGGCAAGAGGATGATGAAATACATTCAATCATACGAATCCGGGAGGGACTACTAGTTTTATGAAACAAATAAATAAAAGAAGATTAACAGTTTTATAAAACTTATATTACAAACAGTTGGTTACAACTGTTCTATTCACAAAGGTAATAAAAAAATACAACAATCTTATGTGAAAGTAACTTTGATTTACGAGTTTTTTCAATTTATGTTTATTTTTATTAGAGGTTACACCTGAGGGGATACAAGACCAATAGCCAAATAAAACAGAAATATATTATTTAGTATGTATTGTATGAGAATCTGTAATTTAACTGCAAGAACCTTTTTTTTTATAATATAGGATGGCAAACGAACAAGCGGCCACCTGAATCCACCGAAATGGAAAGCGACCGCTGCCCATAAACATCCGCAATTGCAGATGCGTTGCCTACCCTTGATTGACAGAGGAGACGCACATAAAAAGGATATTTCCCTTTGCTATGCGTCCCCACCACCGTCAAATCGACTTTTCCTTCCCATCCTTTCCTCTTAAGAAAAGGGTGGAAAGGGAAGGGGATTAAATTTAGGTCTCCGGCACCATACCCTCAGACGAAACGCGGAATTGCTTCCACTTCACGCCTGTCTTTTGTGTGGTCGTGGTATTACACCGGGCGAGCCGGCCCATTCGTGCGAAGATGTTAAAGCGGGCTCTACCACTGTTACCTCTACCTTTACTAAACTATCGCACAACTGTGCAGTCTCGCGTTGATTCCTATGACCTTATATGAAGGACACTACTCGATTTTTAGTAGCAATTAAATATTGAATTGGCTGCGAAACAATCGACAATCGCACAACCGTTGTGCGATAGTTTAGTCAAAGGTGCGCCCGTTCTTAACATAGTTAATAATATCTTTGTTATTTACGCTATTTATGTCAACATCAAGAAAAGGAAAAAAAAAACAAACTGTGAAAAAACAAACAATATATTATTAGTCACAGCGACTTCGCTTTTGTCGTTAAATATTTAGTGAAGTCTCAACGTCTGTCTTACTTTGACTATAGAGAAACGGACTAGACAATGAAATTTACTAAAAAAATCAGCAACTTTTCGCGGGAAACCACACTTATGTATATCATGCTGAACACGTAAAATTGAAGAGTTCATAAACGCATACACCAACAAATTATACGAAACAAACAAGCTTGCAGAAAAGTAAGGTTCATTATTTTACAGAGAAAAAAGCGCGCATAACAAGTCCTGTCGTTAAAAGTCTAAGATCTGAGTCGTTCCAATCTCTAGGGTGACCTAGAAAGGTGTAATTTTGCCAAAACTGTGAGCAACTTCGACAACTGAGATAAAAACAAACGACAATCGGAAATATATCTTCTCGGTAAACTTGTTTTTAAAACAAGTTGCAATTAAAATTATTATTTGGAATTACTTATTAAGTTATTAAGTAACCCGTCATAAAATGTCATCTTGCAAAGGTTTTTTAATATATCCTCCTCACCAATTTCTATTAAGAATTAATTTATACTGTCTCTCGACAAGCCCGGGTATTTTTTTAATTACATAGAAGAGTAAATTAAATGTGAACAAAAAAAACTACACAAAAGACCAGTCCGGGTACAAAAAATTAAAAATTAACTTTTAAAAATAAAACAAAACTATGTGTAAACGTAATAACACGTAATAATAGATGATTTTTAAAAGGTTAAATTGTATCCAAAAGGTTAAATAGAATAGAAAGGGCAGTATTGACTTCACAATGATTTTAACACGACAGTAGACCCCTTTACCATCTTCCCACGAAAGGTGCCTCACCCGGTGCAATACCACGACCACAGAAGACAGGCAACCAGTGGAAGCAATCCCGCGTTTCGTTTGATGATTGGTGCCGGAGACCTAATTTTAGTCTTCTTTCCCTTTCTACACGTTTACACAAGGAAAGGAAATTGGATTTGTCGGACGCATAGACAAGAGAAATTCATTTTTTAAGCATCCTCTAGTCTGTAAATTACCGGTAGGCAAATATCAGAAAATGGGAATGTCTATAGCCAATGATCGCTTTGCCATTTTGTCTAATTCCGGTGATCCCTTGCTCATTTGTCTTCGATGATATAATGAGCGAAACAGAGATATTTTTCAATAATTATGCATGCTGAATTTCTCTGCCTACAGAAAGAAGAAAACAGAAATTCTGTTATTTTCTAAGAGCCCCTGTCGGGTCTAAATCGGTGTAATGCACACCTCCTTACATATTACTTCGAACGATATCAGTATTGTGCGGGAGCTTTCACTATCAAGGTAATTCTGTGCGTATATGACGTCACAATTTATCTCATTACGACATTTTTATAGCATATTATGGTCATATAGCATAGTTTAATATTACGTTGTAAAACATCTAAACTAAATAATAAAATGTTAATTATATTATGAAAAATATATGTTCTTGCATTAAATTAATGCACAATTTCATGTAACAAAATAAGAAGCATAAAAGTTTTTATCGCTTTTAATAAAATTTTACATTTTTGACCGACTTCCCAAAAGAAGGAGGTATTCAATTCGTCGGTATATTTTTTTTTTTTTTTTTTTTTTT